GGGGGGGGGGGGGGGGGGGGGGGGGGGGAGGGGGGCTTGTGTGCATGTTGGCGGGGAGGGCGGTTTGTGGTTGCCACAACGGCTCGCGTGGATAGCGCGTTGGCAGTTTGTTTTGCATGTTTTTTCTGCACGTCTCGATGGATGACGTTTGTTTGAGAGCTGCGTTCCGCGGCTAGTTGGTTTGATGACTCGCATTTTTCGCGGAGGAAGAAAGCGTACGTCGTTCTCTTGCAAAATCTCGCTGGAGCCCACGAACTTCTCTGGTTGTGTCAACTTTGGCTCCGCTCCTTTTCACTGCACGACACCGTAAGAGTATTCCTCACAACGGTCAATCTCAACCCCCCCCCACCACCTCAACCACCGCTTGAATTTGAAAACACAGAACCCCGATCTCACCATCCGGCTCAAGCTGCCCCGCTCGGGCAGCGACCTCGGCGCTTCCGAGTTCGGCCGCGTCCGCAAGAAGACCCTCAAGGCGGAGGAGGCCGGCGGGACGGCCGGGAGCAGCGCCCGCCGCGCAGCGTCGACGGCGGCGGCGGAGGCGGAAGAGGCGAAGCGGCGGAAGGGCGGGGCCGGCGGTGGGGCCCCCGCGGAGCGGTGGCCGGTGGNGGGGACGCAGAGGCCGGTCGCGGGGAGGGAGGGGTCCCACACTCGGTCGGTGGCGGCGGCGGAGAGGCTCGTGGACTCGTGCATTGGGGCCGCGCCGCTGGAGGGCATCGCGGCGGCGGTGCTTCTCCAGAGGCGGTCTTCTTCCGCTTCCGGCTGCCGTAGGGGTAAGGGTGTGTCATTTGGTTTGTAAGAATACGTAAATGGTACAAGGTCCCCCGTTCCGGTATGTAGGCGCGTGCCATCCCCCGAGGATCACTCAAGTTGAAAACATGTCAATTGCTGTGCCGTCTGAAGAGGCAGACAAATACTATCTCGCACAGACTATTTCTACGTGTATCTGATCGCGGCAAATGCACGTTCTGTCTCGTTTGGCTCCAAGAACAGTTCCAAAAAATCGCGTTGTAAAAGCACATGGCGTGTGGCATCGCGCGAGGGTTCGCAGCTTGTAGCGTGCGACAGACAGTCGCGTTGTTGGTCCGATGCTGTTGTTTCACCGCTGCTATCCTTGTATTTACACGAGTTGCTGTGTGGTGGGTGTGTACGCAACAATCACAGCAGCTTTGTGGGCGCGTCAGCGCGTGGTGCGTGGCGTGTGGCAAACAAAACAAGTTCTGTTTTCAGTCCTCATCCCGTTCGAGGAGGCTTTTTATGGCTCGGATTTCCAACCCCTGATAATTGATCTAGTCCCAGCGACTTAAGGCGGCCCCAACGCGCACCACTGGTGTCTCCCGAGCCCCACATACAGTGGGTAATGTACCGACGGGTCCTCTGCGTGCCATGCAGAAGAAAGTGCGAGAAAGTACGCTGTCCCAGCAGAGAAAGAAGAACCCGACCACCAAAAAAAGTCGAAATGCTACATGCGCATATGGTGAGGTTTTCGCAATGATGCGCATGTCTTACAGTCGTCGATGCGTTTCGCTCCTCCTCTCTCTTGCTGTATTTTAGTGTGGTTAATCGTCGTG